TGGAGAGGACAAGAATCGAGGGGACTCGGTTTTCGCCCTGATTGAGACACTATGGTAATATATTGCCGAGATAAAGGACATAATCCCGCTTAACAGAAGACATGGTGTGTTCACACTCGTGTTACATTTACATAACCGGCTAGTTTACTCGACGGGACCCCCTTCAACCTCTCCACCGCAACTTCTTCATCTTCTGACACCAAACTCTGATTATTTCCCTTCGAAACGAAAACGCACATAATAAGTGTAACTATAATGCAGCTTTATCTTAATTACGGATTCCTCCAATTTACCACACTCCACCTCTTCATCCATCTCATCATTAAACTGATTAGAATGAAAAATCTATTTCTTCTAAGAAATAAACTAAGTAAAAAGAAACATTAATCGATCAATTGAATCGTGCGTGTCTTTTTTTTTCTTTTCGTTAAGGAGAGGATCATGTATACATGATTTGCGGATTTCGTTCGGTCAAGAATCCAGTCCGGTCGAGTTTTGTGCGTCGGACGTGTGAAAAATGCCCACGCGACAGAAAGTTGAACGCACCCGAAACTGTCGTCTTTCTTTGGATTCGGACAACTTTTTTTATTGTACATTGTCCAGCGAAAATACACTAAAATAAAACACTTATTAAAATACAATTCATACAATTATAATCATCAATATTTATACACAATAAAATCATATTATCTTCGAAATATTATTGCTTCAATTATTAAAAAATAGTAATTATTAATTGAGCGAAATTGTTTGATTAAGTATCCTTAAAACTAATTATAGTAATTTAATCATTACTAGTAGATCTTTATAAGACTTTATAATGAAAGTTAGATTGATTCAAATTTGATTGCATTTTCTGCTAAATTTAATAATTTTTAGTAGCTATATTATGAGCAGAAAATAATAAATACATTTTGGATAAAAAATTATTAAATTTTTTGCTTTTTTATTTTTTTTTCTGTAAAACAGATTTAATACTATTATTAAGGATTAATAATATTAATTTAATATTTTTTTTTATCTTTTTATAAATTGAGAGCAGAAAATAATGTATAAATTTTGGTTAAAATTTGAATTGAAAATTTGACTCGAGACAGATTTTGTAGTTTTTTGGGCTTCAATTAGTACTATCGCAGTTGCACGGTGTGATTACTCTTCCGGTTTGTGGGAGTAGAGAAGAAAATAAAGCCTGTCACAAAAAGCCATATAAAACAGATAAGGCAAAAACGTATTATTTAAAACTCCGCAAAAAACAAAACTAGAAACTGTAACAGAGTCTACAAAAATTACGTACACACAAAAAATACAACACCTTCTCGATGAAAACTGGAGAGTCAATAACAAGAACTGAACTGGCCAATTTTTGATCGAAAAACTCTATTAACAGGATGGATGGACAACATCCTTTCCAAAAACTCCTTTACTCCTTGGCTATTGGGTATTAACATAAGTAGTATCTATCAAAATGGAATGTCAAGTAGACAAAAGTAAGCACTTTCGACACCTTCTCCTGTTCGCGTTCAATCAAGAGAATAAAGCCTCCAAAGCTTTTTGCATAGTGTACGGTGAAGTTGCTATGAATAAAAGTATAGCTTGTCGATGGTTTCAAAGAGGGTCATTTCGAAAGACATGGAGCTTTTCAGGCGACCAGTGACATTCAATGTGGACCGTTTAAACCAATTCATAGATACCCTTCTAACTACCGAATAATTGGCTGAGCAAATGAATTATAGTCACATGACTGTATACCGACATCTTCAGTCAATGGGAAAAGTCCAGAAGTTCGGTGCTTGACTCCTTTGAGTGAAAACAACAAAAATAAATGACAATTTCTGCTGGTTTGCTCGCACGTGATCGAGCTACGTCGAACGTGCGAAGAGCCCAATCTCGGGCATCCCAAACGCCAGAATCGAAACCCTGACAAACTGCAGAAATAGTAATTTCTTACATAAACCACTTAAACGAAAAGAAAACCTCTGATCGGGCATGCATACGTACTAACGTAAGACCTCGTTTAGTGCTGTCTCGATTATCGCTGATTTACTATATATAACGCCGTTTGCGGGAAGCTTAAAAAAAAGCTCAAAATTTTCTTGGAATCAAATTAACCCCGCATTTCATTGATTCGTATATAATACTTTTATTCCCGGAACTATGCTTGTTTGAGATATAGTTGAGCAGGATATTAAGGAATTACTGCAAATTTCTGGTGAGGGCCTTACCAATGACGATCTTCAAGAACTGGCAGAACAAGGTATTGATATAACGCTATAACAGTTTAGCGCTCTATCTTCAGGAACGAATCTAAAGTGCTAAACGAGGTCTTACTGTATTTGTAATTCAAATTTGGTTGTATTTTGTGTTTGTATTTTTTTTTGTAGAATAATGATATTTTTCTTGTCTTGTTTAATAGAAATAATAATTAATGAATTATTTTTTAATTAAGAGTAAAAATAGAACATATAAATAGTAATTGCAAACAGTGAAAGAATGTAAATATTATTACGGTCAAAAAATATTGTTTACTTTCTGTTTTGCTTGAAAAAAAAAACAATAATCGGAAATTCCGTTTCCAGATTGCTCGAGGTTCAACTGTTGTTCCAACGTGTTGATCCGAATGTGTTGACGAGAGAGGAGACGAGTAAGGTGAAGGAAAAAAGAGGATGCGGAGGAGTTGCGAGTAAAATAAGTGTCGGCCGTAAAGAGAGTTTTATGTCCGTCGAGGAGGCAATTCCAGGTCGCTGCAAGAAAATAAAGTAAATCCGAAATCGAAAATTAGCTCAGCGAAAATCGAATGCAGATAAAATATAATAATGTGCAAACGAAACAAGACTGCAGCGACGAGAAACGTTGTTGCTTGCTCTCACCTTGGACAATATCCAAAAACATTGTCGCTGCATATTTTGAATGAGAAGTGAAACTGAAAAATAATATGAAAAGAAATAAAGGATAATAAAGTTCAGCGATTCCAGCGAGTTTATAGTGGCGAATAATAAAACGAAACGACCTTTGTAATAAGCTCCTTCTTCGGTTCTCCTCCATTTTTATTTATTTATTTTTTACAATTTTATTTGTTTTGTTTTTTTGCTTTCGTTTGATAACGTTGGAGGCTAAAGAAGTCGCCTTTCCGAATAAGTAAAATAATTGGTTATACAAACACACGCGCGCTCCAAAAACGAAAAACAAAAATAAATTAACGAGGGACGCCCACCCGACCCAAAACCGAAATTAAGACATTAAGATCGTTAAGCACGTTCACAAAACCAAATCACTTAATTGAAATCTCCTTCTCCTCTCCATTTATTCAACTTTACCGTCATCTTCTCCTTTTTCTTCGACCATCCTCGACCGCGACATTTCTTTAATTAAAAACCTAAAAACAGCCGTAGAAACACATCACCAAAGAAGGCCTGCAACGTCAGCCTGAAAAACAAGGCTCCCGATGAATGAGAGAAACGGATGCAACCTTTCGTTTGATAATGGATACAACGGAGGGAGAGAGAGACAAAGTTTGTCCTCTCTTAATTCAGAACGTTGGAAATTAACGACGTCTTTCGAGCCGGAGCCGTAATTAATGGAATCGTTTCATGTGCCCTACATAATAAAAATAAATCGTTTCGTTTTTCCGAAATATAAGCTCTCTTTATTTGCCTCTCTCGCTCTCTCTCGTTTACGACCCTCGATACAAATCAATTTCACTTTCCAATAAACGCATCTAATTAATCTTCCATCATTCCGCGCAGATAATTCCTGCATTCATTATTGTTGAAGAAGACTTAACAAGTCTTATCAAGTTTACATCCACTCAATAATTTATAAAGCTTAACTATTGTTGGCTCGATCTTATCATATTAAATTAATTTAAGTTACATCTTTGTGGTATTTGGGTTAAGCCTATAGAGAGGTTATTTTATTTTAGGTTAATTAGAATATTTTGTCCTATTGTTAATTTTATTGTCAATTATTCAAACGGTGTTATGATGCTACTGCAAAAGTCAGCCATGCCTTACAGATTTATCTTAATGGAATTTTATTAACAAAAATTAAAATTTTGTCATTTTGCAATAATAAAAAAATGACACAAATTGATTAAATTAACAAACATTCCACCATTCTATAACAATAAAGACAACAATCGTATTAGAAATTAATAAAAGAAAATTATTGAAATAATTAGGTTACATTATTTTATTAGGTTATACAAAAAAAATAGATTCTAATTTGATTAAACACACATTTTAATACGATTCGAACATGTGAACCTTGAGAATAATCGTATTTGTAGAATTCTCACACTAAACACTCGTCGCGGCGCGTTCCATCATTCATTCATACGCAGTTGAATATTTATTTCATGACTCGAATATACACACTTAAGCTAATGAGTGCATTTGCATAATTCCAACATTAATAGAATTCGAAACAGACATTATTTTTTATCTAACCAAATAGATTGATATTCGTTGTGAAGTTTCAAAATTATTACAAATTAATTGCGATTAAATGAAAAATTCCGTTTTAGGTTCAACAAGTTAAGATTAATTACCGTTGTATATATATTTATTCTGTCAATTAATGAAAAAAAAAGTAGTAATACAAATTGTGAAATCAATGGTTGTTTTTGGTACACGTTTTAGAAATCACACAAATCAATCGTGATTTACTGAAAATTATATATTTCGTTATATTTATGAAATTAATATCAGTGCACTTCGACATGTTACCAGCTTTTGCAAAAAATGTATCAAAATTAAAATTTTGTGAAATTGAATGGCCAAAATTTTAGTTTATTTCGAAACATCAATTTATTTTGTGGAATTACTGGGAAAGAAAGGAAAGAAATAATTCTAATGGTTTCTAGGATTTGCCAAATATAATTGAAATCAAAGTTTTATAGAATCGATAGGAAATAGTAAAATAAATAATAAACACAGACGAAATTTAAACTTATTCTTTTCATTTATTTAGGAGAAAGAACAAAAAAATATCTTGATCGTTATTGGTATTTACAGTTTGCTTCCCGTTACAGAACAGAACAGAATCGAGAGATGACGACGACCGCAACGTTTTCAGTGTTTTCAATTTCTTTCGTCCTTCCAATGCAGAAGCGAAGCGTCATTTACAAATCATCGCCGCATCATTAACATCAACAACAAGAAAAGAAGGGAAATTTTTACAAATGCTCATTTAACAAACGAACAAAAAGTACGGGGACAAATCGTTTTGGTGTCGTTTAACAGATCGTGCTACAACTGACGATGAGACGGGACAACGTAACGGATGATTTTTATACAGGTTTCGGTTTCACAACGTTTATATAAATAAGTATATGTACAAGTAATAGTTGTATAATAGGGGACGAGGGGGAAAAAGGATTTTTGATCATCTCAGCTAATCCTAACTAAATAGTTAATTAATTATAATTATAAGTAATATATAACTTAAGTAGTTTTAAGTTCCTGCTTTGGTAATTGGATTCTTAATTGTGGGGGAGATTCATTCGCACAGAGTTTTTGGGGTGTTGTTCGAAAGTTCGTCTCAATCGCGATCGTGCATCGTGAGCTGAAGCGGCTGGCAGGTGGAGGGGTTTGCATTCAGGCTGGGAGAGTCGACCACTTCAACGGGGCTCGAGGACCTGGATGCTGCCCTGAGGTGGGCCGCTGACGATGATTCCTCCACGTCCGATTCGTCATTGACGTTGATCTCCTCGTCCGAATCGGTGACGTAACCGGCGAGCGCTAGTGCGGTGGCCGCAGGGCCGAACGCTTTGAACGCGCTATTCTCGCCGCCCATCTGCAGGAGCATGGGTTGCGGAGGCGGCGCCTGAAGCTGAGACGATTGAGACTGCGGATGACCGCCACCTCGATGATGGTGGCCCCCCATGAGCGGCGAGCCAGGGGTGGAACCGGGATTGTAGTGAGGCGGCGGCGACGGCGGCGTCAACCGACCCGCCCCATAGATCGAGGAGGAGGCGCCGCCGCCTCCGCCCATCCCCTGCGGCCCAGGCGACGACCTCTTCAGCAGGTTCATGCGCTGGTGCCGTCTCCATTTCGCCCGTCTGTTGGAAAACCAAACCTGGTTAACATACGCAAACCGAATTAGTCTTTCTCACGATCACATTTTTACCAAAGTTCTTTATATAATTTCATTCTTTGATTCTTGTAGGCAGAGCATCGACAGTTTTGGAATACACATTTTGGAATGCACATATTACAAACATTGAAAAAAAACGACTTGTATAAAACATTTAACAAAATTGCATTAACATCAGTATCAAGAAAATGAGACACAAAAGTATAGCAAGCGTAACTAATACAAAGTGAATTCTAGTTTTTCGTTTCAAAATAGTTTTTATAAAATTACTAGTTAAAGACTGTTTAAGACATATTTTGTGTTAATTGTATTTTGTGTACAAGTTGTATCTTCATTTTATTATTATACAGGTCGTTTTCAATTTCCATCAAGTAATGACAAAATTACTGTGTATTCTAAAACATTTTGAGATGCACTGGATTCAAGAACGAAATGAAGACTCACCTGAACTCGTGCTTCCGAGAGCGACGTCTTCGAGGCGAGACGTTCGCGCGTCGAAACGCAAGGATAATGACTTTTTTCGAACTCCTTTTCGAGCTCCTCCAGCTGATCGGGACTGAATGTGGTACGATTTCTGCGGAACTTCGGCTGCTCCGAACCGTCCAGACTGGAATCGTCCTTGCTATCGTTGTGACCGGGTGGGGAGCTGAGCAGGCCGTGATCCTGGTGAGGAGATGCCGAGGATCCGGGAGATCCGGCCATGACGGATCCGCCGCCTCCGCCACTCCCGCTTCCGGCGCCCGGTGGCTGAAGACCCAGAGGACCGTTCGGCCAGAGCGGAGAATGCCATGGAAAGGCTGCAGCCGCCGCGGCGTATGGATGAGGATGGTAGAGGCCGTAGCCGGCGGCACGAGCGAATTCCGCCGCCGCCCTCTCTGCCGCCCTATTCCTCAAAATCCTGTTGATGCTGCTCACAGATGGCGCCGTCGCATTCGTGCAAACGCCTGCAAATAAATTAAGAAAATATATCCAATTGTTTTTTTGTGTTTATTTATATGACTACTTGACAGTAAAATTATTACCAAATATACAGGATGCGTAAGGTTTTTAAGACATCCTTTTTTTTCTTGGTTGTACTTCATTCTAATAAATTCTATTTACAGGTAATTTAAAAGTAATGTCACACTCCTAGATGACTCAAGTTACTTATGGAGATTTGGGAAGTAGCTAGATCATTCGTTTATAAAGTTCGTAAGGAGTTGAGAACAAAAATGGCAATATATTAGAAGTGTCCAAGTAAAAACCATTCTAAACACCCTGACAGTACGAGAACGCCAGAATTTGTTCAACGAGTTCAACAAATCATTGATTATGATCCCAGAAAATCAATAAGGTCACTTGCAAACAAACTAATAACTCTCCGGAGAGTTAAACATTAAAGATTCATTAAAGCTGCTATATTCAGTATAATGTTTGATATGAATCAAAATGATTTAATTCAAGCTTGTCGACAATTTAGATCTCGAATGATTTTACAAAAAAAAATTCAGAAATAAATTTAATTTCTTTTGTAGTATTTGTTATTTTTTTGGCAAGCATAAATCTGTCCTCAAATACCTGTATTAAAATTACAAATTGCACTTAGTCTTAAGCCAATAATAATGGAAATAACTTTAATATTTATTTCATATTTTTATAAGATTATTGCCAATGCGGCACTAAATAAATAAGTAGTCTTAGACTAAATCATAGTATTAAAGCATTCATGAAATGTTAATCAAACTGAATGTTAAAGATATAGCTTTAGTGGAACTTAGTATTAATGTGTAAATATCAATCTTAGATATGTAGTCGAAGTTCTTTGTAATCTTAGATCAGATTTATGGTTGGGTTAAATCTTGTAAATTGTATTATGCAAATTTCGAAAAAGTTGGCGTGGTAAATTATCCGGAAACAAAACACAAACACACATTTACCAAAAACATATGAAACAGAGTAAGTAATAATTGCGGTAATAACAGAAATGAAACAGATGGCGATATGCCAATAAACACAGGAATCATAAAGGCATTGTAGTCGCCGGTAATTTATACCCGTCTCGTATGTTCGGTCGGCGTTTAACATCTTCTGAGCGATTTCCCCGCATTCTTCCGTCCGATTGTTATATATGTATGCTGTTGATATTAGCGAATTTCACGGAGAAAGAGAACGAGATTGTTGAGAGCAACAGCAGAAGAAAAACAGCAGCAGCAGCACAAAAAAAAAATAAGAGAAGAAAGAACGAGAACTATATTAAGGAAGAACAACAAAAAAAAAGGAAAAGAGAAGAAGGTTCGTTTCATTTAAACGCACGGTGTTTCTTCCGTTAATGATATATAATTTCGCGCAGTGATTTGAAGCGAAATTTGCCTCGAAACGGAAAGGGACACAAACACACACACAAACATAACACGTCTGGGCCCGAGGCGGAACGGAACCGCGCGCGATAAATCATAAATTGTTGCTGTTGGAAACGAAAGAATGAATTCCAAAAAAAGGAATAAAGAAAAGGAATAAAGGAAAAGAAAAAATAATTAAAGTTGGAGTAAATATTGAATGTAATTCAAATATTTCGAGAAATAAAACAGTTTAAGTAAAATGTTTTAATGTTTTCTAAAAAAAGTACAGTATACCAGAAGTTTCACCACAAAACTTGCAAAATGGTTTAAATCGAATTGAGCAATTCAGCACAACGAAACGAAATTGACTCATGAGGTGACTTTACGATGAGGAAGAAAACGTGTCCTCAGGTAACTCTAAATAACAAAGTTTTACCACAGGAAGATCATGTAAAATATCTTGACATGCATCTGGATAGAAACATATATGAACAAAGAGAAAGCAATTAGGTCTGAAATTCAGCAAACTATATTTGTTAGTTGGAATAAAATCAGTGCTATCGCACAACAATCTATTGATATACAAATCATATGATCAAATTGATGTAGTTCAAGTTGCTACATTCTATTTTATGGTATAGTTTTATGTGGATGGACGATGGTGAGAATAGTGCATTCCGGTAGTTGGAACTAACGGAATTGGCGCGCGCGCTTTTGTTTTGTCCGCGGTCGACTCGCGTGTCCAATCGAATTACCATAGCCAGAGATCCCCTTTTGTTACTCGTTATTACCGACGCCCGATGACGTTAATGCAAACAAATAGGATTCGTGTAATCCCGAAAACGCAAATCAGCACACATATATTGTATTCCATTTCTTAGTCATTCGAATGCACCTTGATTTTGATTAAAACAAAATTGTTTATTGCATTTATAGTAACGTCTATGATATTAAAATCATTATAATATTCACCTAATGGACAAATTTTGCTTTCTTTTAGTATATAAAATACTTGATAATACTTAATTTAAATATTGGTAGCATACAGTATAAATATTTGCAGACAGCGCCATCTGGTGAATCAATAATATCGTCAAGTTTTTTTCGGAATTTGTCCCTATTTTTGTATCTAAACAAAAATATATTTTTGGGACCGTTTCATATTTGATTGAACATTATTTGTTCAAAAGTATTAAAATTATATCTACCTATCACTTACATAATATAACATAAAAGATTAAAATATACAGAAATTGTTACTAGTGGAATGTAAATTTAAATAAAAAACTTGACAGTTTGAACAAAATTTATTGGTAAAAGTGCGAACATCTACATAATTTATTTCATATTTAGGTGAAAAATATGTTTAAACATATGTGCAAGTGTAATTTGTGTTGCATACAATGTAAAAACTTGCTGAGAGCGCCATCTGGAATTGCAATAAAAACAAAATTGGTACGTGGCAACGGCACAATTCGCCGATTGTTGTTTGCGTCGGTCGCGCACTCGAATTGCTCGCCCGCAGCGTCCTCCGAGTCCATTAGGTGATTTAGTTCCTGACTAAGCAATAAAATACAAGAGGTGCCCACTCGATCCGAAACGATACTTGAGACCTAAACAAACACGCTTCGCCCCGTCATCGTCAGCGAGGATAAGGATGATGATGATGGTCATCTTCCATCCGCACAAAAGGCGCTCTTCTTGGAAGGCGGACAACGCTCTTCGCGGAACGCTTCTCCTCATATCGCACCGAAAAACCACCGTCCGCACTAATAACTGACGATTATCCTGTCACACGTACACACACACACACCTCAAGCACTTCATCCTCCATAACCCAATTAATTAAAACGCGGATTGATAGCGTGGGCGACTTATTAAAACTTGAAGCTTTGTGTATACGGTCACTAGATGCGCTGTTGCTTTTATACTGTTATCATTAAGGACGCACGCAGCGGATAACGAAATGGCAAAGATTAATTATCAAACTCGGTGAAGCCATCACAGGTGGGCGAATCATCGCGGTTGGCAATCCTTCTTTCTCAACAGGGGGCGGCGAGATTGAGGTATATACCCTGAAGGCCCCTTTGGCGACAAATTACGCGACGTTCCGCGCTGACAACTGTGACTTATCCGCGGAATCGGTGCACAAATGATGTACGTTACCACATTTCCGCTCGAAAGAACTCCTAATTAAAGAACATCTCTCATTTTAAATGTGATTTAATGTTTATTTGTTGTACTTCAATTGCTAATTAATAAATAATTTTGCATGACACCGATATCGTTGGAAGCTTTGAGGGATTCTTCTCATCGCAATCGTGCGACAACAATGGCAAACCGCAACGGTAATTGCGGGAAAGGGACAGAAGAACCCTTCTTTTCCGTTGTCCAACAACAGTTCCATTTTTAATTTTCTCCTCCGTGGAAGCACACACACAAACGACAATTGCGGCCGTCCGTAATTCGTGGGGATGACACAATCGAAATGCGACCCACCAACTGCTTCCCACCTCGTCTCTCCTTCGCCATTCATCCGATGAATACAATACATATTTTTTGTAAAAGAACAACGTTTCAGACTTCTCCTTTATTTATTTCACTTTCATTAAAAAAAAACCGCACACGCAAAATACTTCAATAAAATTACAATTACAACTACATTTCCAACAATATAACAATTGTTATTATATTGATAGTTGGCAATAAAATTTACTCTAATTTTCCATCGAAAGCAATAATTGAAAATTTATAATGAGCAAGTTAATAATAAACTAAATTTTATTTCAGTTTTAACACAAAAAAGGAAGAAGAGTTCAAATCTCTCAATTTAATAATAACGTCAGTATATAATCGAAAACAATAATGATTTTATAAATTGAATTTGAAAGAAGAAACATTTGTACAGAAATTTAATTTGTTTACCTTCTGAAATGAGTCTCTCTCGGATTTCCCATGCAAATATCGTCGGATTTTCTCGCTTGTACTGTTCGATTTTGGAGACGACGGCAGGTGTCGCCACCTTAGGTTTACTTCCGCCTATGAGGCCGGGCGGCCTAAGCGTACCTGAAACAAAACAGGAATATCTCATTAGCAAAACTATACAAAACAAAATAGAAAATATATAAACTTGTTATCATTTCATGTACTAGTCATTTTTAATGTTCCTTTATTAAACATATTTTATGCCAATTTTAAGAATATAAATATTACTGAATAGAATCAATTATTTTTCATGTAATTAATTGAATGTAGATGTTTATTTTGTTAATGTTTATAAAAAAAAATGGATAATCAATCTTCTTCCAATACTTAAACATATAATTGTGACAACTATAAATATTTAAATTACGATAAAAAAAACAAACATTATGTTTTCTATATTGATACAAAACTGAACAAATTTAAAGTTGCTCAATCCTTTCGAAGATTTCAATCATCGAAACAGTTACGTGGAACCGACAAATTTAGAAACTTTGTAACATAGTTATCTGTTTAGTTCTCTTGTTACTATTTTTTGTATGTGTGTGTGTAAATAGGTTGCCGTTTTTTTCCACTTCCGTTGTGGTATCATTGCGTGATTAATTATATACAAGCATAGTGGAAAACGGCCTGGGAATGGAATCGGCGAAATCGGAGTGTCGTTTCAATTATAAATATCGGAATGGAAAGGCGATGGATGTAGTAATGGTGTTTCGTGAAGTTACGGATGTCGTGCCAACGATGATGATTACGATGATGATGATGGTCGGAGCCGGGACGAACCCAGAGCACCCGGGGGCGGCCGAAACGGTGCGAGCTTTACAAGCAGAAAAACAACATAAAAAAAGAGCGAGCGGTGATCGAATGAATGTGAGTTAGAGAAAGAGAACGAAAGACAGAGACAACATTTTGAGTGAATTATGTAAAAATTAAAGAAACGAAGAGGAATAATAATTGTTCGCGTTCGCATTTGAAATAATAAAAAATTGGGGGAAAGAAAGGACCGAAGGTAAACGGTGACCAATTTTTGTTGCTTTTCTTTTGTAAGTTTTTGTTCTCGTTCCTTTTCTTGTTGCTCCGAAGAAAAAAAATGTCCCAAGGAAATAAATAATAACGAACACTAAAGGATTATGAAACGGTAATTACGGTCGCATGTATATGAAGCGACGTTCCAAGTAGCCGAAACGCCCCGGGCGATGAGCCTTATTCTTTTATTTCTCTTCGGTCAGTCGGGCCCCTGTTCTTCTCCTCTTTCACCAGAACCGTCGTTACACGCGAGAAAATCCAATACCAAACACGAAACGAAGAAATGCGACCGAACCGCGTTGCAATAAGTCCAAAAAAAAACACAAAGGATTACAATTTTTTGATATCCGTAAAATCCATTGTATTGTATTCAATATAAATCAATTTGCAAGCAAGAATTATCGATTATACCCATGAAAAAATCAACAATCTTATTATTTTCTTAGATCACTTTCAATTTACTTAACTAATACGAAGCAATAATTATGTTTGCATTCATGTTCATCTAATTTAATGTCACATTAATTTACTTAACACACTTGAATTTTCAATAATTACATTCTTGTAATAATAATGGCGAAAAGCATTAAATTGAAATGCTTTTATGTTCATAAAAAATGTTGGAAATGGAATAAATGTATATTTTATATAAATTTCATATATTTTACTATTATTATATAAACTATATAATGAAATGAATGGAAAAATCACTTCACACATCACTATGTTATTTGCAATTTAATTTTGTTTCAAAAATCGTCTCATCTTACATTGTTTTATATAATTATTAGTTTCTCATTTACTTATAGAACATGAAGCTAAATAAAATAAGTGAATATTTTACTTTCAAGTTTTTTAATACTATAAATTCTTTCAAACTTTAATATAAATTTGTTTGCAAATTCAATACATTATTTTCTTCCTAAGCTCAAATCTATATTTTTAGTTTTAATGAATTCAGACGAAAGCTTTCTCTCTACAAAATCAGGCGCTTT